GTTGTACATTTGCTGTTATGTTAAACTTATATTAAAGTTTTTCTTCATTACCCATTCAAGCCATCTCCAACCATTATTAGTCTCAAAGTGGGTTCCTTGTCATAGAAAGTGTTAAAGTTAATTATTTTAAAGGTGATAGCTACACCAAATTTTGTTATGTAACTCGGTAAGAGTCATATGACATCAACTTTCTCGAAATTTAAGTTTTTCTTGCTATGTGAGTATTGTTACATCATAGCATCTCCTACTTTGTAGAAAGTTTCCAGGCACCAGTTGGGCAATATATATATATATACATACATTGGGGAAGTTAGTCGGCATGTGAGTGATAAGCCTTAACAGGTGATATCTTAAAGAGAGTTTCACAGAGATAAGGGGAATAATTTGTCTTGTCAAAGGGTGTTCTAAACTAATTGAACCCGCCTGTGTGGACTTTGACGAAAAGGAGGCAATTATTTAGAGTTCATGATACAACTGTGGTAACCCATGGGGTAATGTAAGTGAATTATTCACAGATACTATTGTGATAAGAGTAGAGAAAAATAATTTGTCTTGTCAATATGATTCTAAAGTAACTGAATCAACCTGTGTGGACTTTTGACAAGAAAATAGAATTATTTAGAATTTTAGATAAAGCTGTGATATTCCATAGTGTAAAGAATTTTTGTACATATGTTTGATTTGTTTTGAATATATATTATTTCAAAACAAGTGGATTGTACGCTTAAGTTTATGGTTCAAATTTATCGCCAGCAAGTCACAGACACCTACTGTAAAAGAATCCAGGCCCTTATTCATATTCAAAACCCTGAAAATATTAGGAATAGTTTCTTTATGATTTTCTTAGTTTCTCTGAAATAAAGTAATCGTGATAATTTAGTTTTTTTTTCAGGCAAGAATAAAACAACCTGAAATTGTACAAAACACGTTTGTATTGTGACAATAAAAAATAGGAAAAAACAATGTAGGAAAATTCTGAAAATGATTACTACTTGGTTTGTAGGTCATAATCGACCTGGGCAACAATTACCTAAAAGTTCAATTCTATGACGAAACGTTGTTAGTATGAATCATCATAAAGATTTTAATCAAGTCTGTATACTTTTAGTTGTTACATCTTGAACAGCAGTTGTTTAAACAAGGACTTTATGGACAGTCCTGGTGTAGATGGAGTTGATACAGAGGTTTTAATCAAGTCTACATACTTTTAGTTGTTACACCTTGAACAGCAGTTGTTTAAACAAGGACTTTACTGGACAGTCCTGGTGTAGATGGAGTTGATACAGAGGTTTTAATCAAGTCTATATACTTTTAGTTGTTACACCTTGAACAGCAGTTGTTTAAACAAGGACTTTACTGGACAGTCCTGGTGTAGATGAAGTTGATTCAGAGGTTTTAATCAAGTCTACGTACTTTTAGTTGTTACACCTTGATCAGCAGTTGTTTAAACAAGGACTTTACTGAACAGTCCTGGTGTAGATGGAGTTGATGCAGAGGTTTTAATCAAGTCTGTATACTTTTAGTTGTTACACCTTGATCAGCAGTTGTTTAAACAAGGACTTTACTGAACAGTCCTGGTGTAGATGGATT